GTTTGTTGGTTTGTTTGCTTGCCGCTATCGAACATAGATGTACATAACATTATATAACTATATATGTAACTCTCTCTATATTCTATTTGTGCAGGGCGGTGGGGTAGCTTAGTGATTAAAGCGTTGGCTCGTCACGCCGAAGACCCGGGTTCGAATCCCCACATGGGTACAATGTGTGAAGCCCATTTCTGGTGTCCCCCGCCGTGATGTTGCTGGAATATTGCTAAAAGCGGCGTAAAACCAAACTCAGTCAGTCAGTCTATTTGTGCAATTGCACATGTGCTCATCACTATCTTGTACAACGCACACTAACCAGCCGTGTCAACTCATTACGTGGAGAGGTATTTACATATATAAGCTTTTTTCTCTTTTTTTTTTTTACAGATGCAGCTGTCTTTGGAAATAAAAATATGTTTAAACCGGGCTAGCTATGCTTGAAAGTTACTAGCCCACAAAATACTTCACTAGCCCGAAATCTGAATGTAGAAACTAAGCAAAAAGATTACAAAAATAGATGAGAATAAGATATATGACATGGGTTTCATCATGAAACTGCTATTATGATGGACATATTTATCAGGCCGTAATCTTGTATGATGTAAAAGTGTATTATAACTTAACAAGTCGAGAGCGATATTTACAAAATGACCCATGAAAATTCGCTAGCTAGTCGGGCCAGTGACTGTGGAGATTTACTGGCCCGACTGGATTTTTACTAGCCACGGGCTAGCGGGCTAGTGGCTATTTCGGACACTGGTTTAAACCATTGGAAGGCGAGGAATCTCTCGCACACTGTTTGTGTATGTACGTTGAGGTCACACACAATTCTGATTACACATTTCATGCCGTAGGTTTATATTCATGCTTTCGCCTCACATAACTATCAGGGTTGTTTCTAAATCACGGCACGTCTTGTGTCTGATCTGATGCCAACATCCATCACCGTCTCGGAGTAAGGGTATGTTTTATTGTATAAGTACATGCCTTACAGCTCTTGATGACTAAAACAGAAGTTGTGTCGTTAAGTCCCGCCCGAGGTACCGAGGTCGAGACTGAGGTACAGGTGACCTCACACAGGATATAAACTGAATCACTTACACGATGAAATGGAATTCACCAGCGGCATTTCCTCAAAGTAGGGTTGTGTATAATTGTGCAACAATAGATCGACATTGATTAAAACGTTTTTCTCGGTTGATAAGAGTCAGTTGTATTGTGCAATTGGTATCATCCAAGAAGGAGTAGTTGTTCGTTTGTTGTTAAAGCCGCACTCGGCAATATTCCAACTGTTTGAGTGATCGAGTCTGGGCCAGATAATCCACTGATTGATATGATGGTGGTGGAGGTGGTATTAGTTGTAGTAGTAGTAGTAGTAGTAGTGGTGGTGGCAGTGGTAGAAGTAGTGGTGGTGGTAGTAGTAGTAATATTAGTCGTGGTGGTGTTGTTGGAGGAGATTTTAGTAGTAGTAGTAGTTTTAGTAGTAGTAGTAGTAGTAGTAGTAGTAGTAGTAGTAGTAGTAGTAGTAGTAGTAGTAGTAGTAGTAGTAGTAGTAGTAGTGGCAGTGGTAGAAGTAGTGGTGGTGGTGGTAGTAGTACTGGTGGTGGTGGTATATGTCGTTCGATATATAATTGACTTGTTGTGGAGTTGTAAGATATTATAAGTGTATACTGGCTAATTCAACGATAACCAGTAGGATTTCCGGGTTACAGCTGACCCTGGGTCACGAAAATAACTCGAATATTTTACCGGCGAAGGTCGCATAAGTGGAATATTGCTGCGTTAATAGCACATCCACAATGTTAAACAGGCCATTTGTCAACAGGAAAACCGTATTGCAGTACGACAATGAACCAGCATATATATACTGTATATAACCCCCATCTTTAGCTTTACCAGGCTATTCTCAACCCCTTTTCAGAGTTTTTCTTAACACTCGTGGGTTCCTGCATGAATGTATTTTATGCGCCTGGACAAGACGAATTCGAGACATGCATTACTTCATTGATACTTCTTCATGACACGGTGTGGTATAACTGAAATACCGTTCAAAGTATCACTCACTCACTCACTCACTCACTCACTCACACCACCCACCCACCCACTCGTTCACTCACTCACTCACTCACTCACTCACTCACATAGTACAATAATACACAACATTGCATTTCCGCGCCTTTAAAATAACACATAACTGCTTCGCCTTATGAGAGTGAACGAATTTACACACGAAGGCATATACTCCAAGTATGGATTCGCGTTAGGTCAATAAATTGTGAGAACATAAATGTGCGAAAAAGCGTGCACGCAAACATGCACGTATATGGCGTCATTGATTCAGTGATAGCAGGTGGCAAACTAGGACACATGCCAGTATCTGTTTCACAATTGTTGCCATGGAAACGCAATCATTTCACACATGAATATGGTTTTGTTACGATAGATTTACAACAACACATGACATTTCTCGATATGGTTGAGCAGATGAATTTGAAAAGGCTGACTGTGTTATCATGTTCTGGTGTAGTGTATCAGTGTGTATCATCCGTGTCGTGAACATAACATCTCATGTTGTGATGGGTGTGTTCTGAGTGTGTGTTCTGTGTCGTGAACATAACATCTGTATGTTGTGATGGGTGTGGATGTGTTCTGTGTCGTGGATATAACATCTGTATGTTGTGATGGGTGTGGATGTGTTGTGTGTCGTGGATATAACATCTGTATGTTGTGATGGGTGTGGATGTGTTCTGTGTCGTGGATATAACATCTGTATGTTGTGATGGGTGTGGATGTGTTCTGTGTCGTGGATATAACATATGTGGGATGGATGTGTTCTGTGTCGTGGATATAACATCTGTGTTGTGTGTCGTGGATGTGATGTGTTGTGTGTCGTGGAACATCTGTATGTTGTGATGGGATGGATGTGTTGAATGTGTCGTGGATATAACATCTGTATGTTGTGATGGGTGTAGATGTGTTCTGTGTCGTGGATATAACATCTGTATGTTGTGATGGGATGGATGTGTTCTGTGTCGTGGATATAACATCTGTATGTTGTGATGGGTGTGGATATGTTCTATATCTATATAACATCTGTATCTTGGGTGTGACTGTGTGTTCTATGTCTAGGATATAATATCTGTATATACTGTGTGTGATGGGTTTATGTGTTGTCTTGTACTGTGTATCGATTTCTAATTCTATATAACATCTGTATCTTGGGTGTGACGGTGTGTTCTATGTCTAGGATATAACATCTGTATATATGACGAGTTTTATTTCTTGTCTTGTGCTGTGTTCGATGTCTATTCCTTGGATATAACATCTGTATCTTCAGGGCGTGGAGTGTTACGATATCCTCTGTGTCGCGCTTCATGTGACGGAAGCAACGGTATTGCTGACATTTAACTGCCACGAATAGAATCAAGAGAAAACTTCACACCAAGTATACATTTATTCAGGAAGGAACCAAGCCGTCTATGAATATTCATAACACAATAGCCTAATGAATATTTATGAGCAGGCAGACCGTTTTATCTCTGCCATCTGAGTAATATCCTGTTATATCTGAACAGTATCTACCTGTGACGTCATTGCGCCGTGTCCTTCCCATACTCATGTCACAACACACCTGCAACAACATACACAATAAACTACCCGCCGTGATATTGCTGGAATATTGCTAAAAGCGGCGTAAAACCACACTCGCTCACTAAACACTAAGTTTATAACGAACCCACTTATAACAAGCTGAGGGATATAACGAACTGGGTTTCTCGGTCCTGACCACTTGCTGTTTAATATATTCGAAATGCGTAAAACAAATTACGATTCAAACAAACTAAAAGTAGTAGTCGCTTTCATTTCGGTATAACCGTAGTTTATAGTAGTAGTCGTTTTGATTTCGGTATAACCGTAGTTTATAGTAGTAGTCCCTTTGATTTCGTTATAACCGTAGTTTATAGTAGTAGTCCCTTTGACTTCGATATAACCGTAGTTTATAGTAATAGTCCCTTTGATTACGTTATAACCGTAGTTTATAGTAGTGGTCCCTTTGATTTCGTTATAACCGTAGTTTATAGTAGTAGTCCCTTTAGTTTATAGTAGTAGTCCCTTTGATTTCGTTATAACCGTAGTTTATAATAGTAGTCCCTTTGATTTCGTTATAACCGTAGTTTATAGTAGTTGTCCCTTTGATTTCGTTATAACCGTAGTTTATAGTAGTTGTCCCTTTGATTTCGTTATAACCGTAGTTTATAGTAATAGTCCGTAGTTTATAGTAATAGTCCCTTTGATTTCGTTATAACCGTAGTTTAAAGTAATAGTCCCTTTGATTTCGTTATAACTGTAGTTTATAGTAGTTGTCCCTTTGATTTCGTTATAACCGTAGTTTATAGTAATAGTCCCTTTGATTTCGTTATAACCGTAGTTTATAGTAATAGTCCCTTTGATTTCGTTATAACTGTAGTTTATAGTAGTAGTCCCTTTGATTTCGTTATAACCGTAGTTTATAGTAGTAGTCCCTTTGATTTCGTTATAACCGTAGTTTATAGTAGTAGTCCCTTTGATTTCGTTATAACTGTAGTTTATAGTAGTAGTCCCTTTGATTTCGTTATAACCGTAGTTTATAGTAATTGTCCCTTTGATTTCGTTATAACCGTAGTTTATAGTAGTAGTCCCTTTGATTTCGTTATAACCGTAGTTTATAGTAATTGTCCCTTTGATTTCGTTATAACTGTAGTTTATAGTTGTAGTCCCTTTGATTTCGTTATAACCGTAGTTTATAGTTGTAGTCCCTTTGATTTCGTTACTGTGTATTATTGACAACCGCAAACTATATATATAATACTTTAAAGCTTAATATCACTGAGGAAGCTGACAGTCAAGTTCTTTCTTGGAAATTCACGTTCTAGAAGAATAAATAAGGCATTGTTAAAATCTATCGCTCCCCTGCACCGCTTCACTGAAAACAGCTACATTACAATCCGGTTTATAATTTATTCAACAAACGCGTCGCCAGAAACCCCATGCATATACCTGTACAGGATGTTGATTAGCCGTCGATAGCTTGATATCGACACCTGACGTCGTCGCAAGACCTTCCATACAGAGCCAAACACGTGCAGCGGTCTGTGGGAGACTACGCAACGACATTGGTGACGGGGAATCCCCCGTCCTTGGCAGTATTGCTTGTGTCATCTTCGTCAACACAGCCCACTCCATCAAGGAAGTGGATCGTGGCGTTGTGCACGAGGCGACCTGACACGACTGTCATTATGCTCAACACCTGAAATGTACAGCGTTTGATGGGGTCTGATATCGACATGATTGAAGTTCACACAATTAGCTCTACTCACCTGACGACAGCCCAATGTGACCTATTGAAATACATAGTGGGACGTCGGCGAGAGGTACGTAGACAGATATGATATCTACAGTGAACACGGCGTAGATAAGCGAAAGCCTACGTCGTTTATGTAATATATACCATGGGTAGAACGATATCTAGGCCAGATCCTTTTTTGTCAATATCTATATCGCTTCTCAAATAGAAATCGTGACTTAGTCCATTTCTATGACGGTTTTGTATCTATATATACACATACGTTAATTTGAAATGACGCAGTTGTATGTATATTGCAATATAACGCTATGACAGTATGTGGGGATATGTTATGGGTCATGTATGTTGTAAAATAACGTTATGTCTGTATGTGGGGATATGTTATGGGTCGTGTATGTTGTAAAATAACGTTATGTCTGTATGTGGGGATATGTTATGGATCATGTATGTTGTAAAATAACGTTATGTCTGTATGTGGGGATATGTTATGGATCATGTATGTCGTAAAAATAACGTTATGTCTGTATGTGGGGATATGTTATGGATCATGTATGTTGTAAAATAACGTTATGTCTGTATGTGGGGATATGTTATGGGTCGTGTATGTTGTAAAATAACGTTATGTCTGTATGTGGGGATATGTTATGGATCATGTATGTTGTAAAATAACGTTATGTCTGTATGTGGGGATATGTTATGGATCATGTATGTCGTAATATAACGCTATGACAGTATGTGGGGATATGTTATGGGTCATGTATGTCGTAAAATAACGTTATGTCTGTATGTGGGGATATGTTATGGGTCATGTATGTTGTAAAATAACGTTATGTCTGTATGTGGGGATATGTTATGGGTCGTGTATGTTGTAAAATAACGTTATGTCTGTATGTGGGGATATGTTATGGATCATGTATGTTGTAAAATAACGTTATGTCTGTATGTGGGGATATGTTATGGATCATGTATGTCGTAATATAACGCTATGACAGTATGTGGGGATATGTTATGGGTCATGTATGTTGTAAAATAACGTTATGTCTGTATGTGGGGATATGTTATGGATCATGTATGTTGTAAAATAACGTTATGTCTGTATGTGGGGATATGTTATGGATCATGTATGTCGTAAAATAACGTTATGTCAGTATGTAGGATATGTTATGGGTCGTGTATGTTGTAAAATAACGTTATGTCAGTATGTAGGATATGTTATGGGTCATGTATGTCGTAAAATAACGTTATGTCTGTATGTGGGGATATGTTATGGGTCGTGTATGTCGTAAAATAACGTTATGTCAGTATGTAGGATATGTTATGGGTCGTGTATGTCGTAAAATAACGTTATGTCAGTATGTAGGATATGTTATGGGTCGTGTATGTTGTAAAATAACGTTATGTCAGTATGTAGGATATGTTATGGGTCATGTATGTCGTAAAATAACGTTATGTCTGTATGTGGGGATATGTTATGGGTCGTGTATGTCGTAAAATAACGTTATGTCAGTATGTAGGATATGTTATGGGTCGTGTATGTCGTAAAATAACGTTATGTCAGTATGTAGGATATGTTATGGATCATGTATGTTGTAAAATAACGTTATGTCTGTATGTGAGGATATGTTATGGGTCGTGTATGTCGTAAAATAACGTTATGTCAGTATGTGGGGATATGTTATGGATCATGTATGTTGTAAAATAACGTTATGTCAGTATGTGGGGATATGTTATGGATCATGTATGTTGTAAAATAACGTTATGTCAGTATGTAGGATATGTTATGGATCATGTATGTTGTAAAAAATAACGTTATGTCAGTATGTAGGATATGTTATGGGTCGTGTATGTCGTAAAATAACGTTATGTCAGTATGTAGGATATGTTATGGATCATGTATGTTGTAAAATAACGTTATGTCAGTATGTAGGGATATGTTATGGGTCGTGTATGTTGTAAAATAACGTTATGTCAGTATGTAGGATATGTAATGGGTCGTGTATGTTGTAAAATAACGTTATGTCAGTATGTGAGGATATGTTATGGATCATGTATGTTGTAAAATAACGTTATGTCAGTATGTAGGATATGTTATGGATCATGTATGTTGTAAAATAACGTTATGTCAGTATGTAGGATATGTAATGGGTCGTGTATGTTGTAAAATAACGTTATGTCAGTATGTGAGGATATGTTATGGATCATGTATGTTGTAAAATAACGTTATGTCAGTATGTGGGGATATGTTATGGATCATGTATGTTGTAAAATAACGTTATGTCAGTATGTAGGATATGTTATGGGTCATGTATGTTGTAAAATAACGTTATGTCAGTATGTGGGGATATGTTATGGATCATGTATGTTGTAAAATAACGTTATGTCAGTATGTAGGATATGTTATGGATCATGTATGTTGTAAAATAACGTTATGTCAGTATGTAGGATATGTTATGGGTCATGTATGTTGTAAAATAACGTTATGTCAGTATGTGGGGATATGTTATGGATCATGTATGTTGTAAAATAACGTTATGTCTGTATGTGGGGATATGTTATGGATCATGTATGTTGTAAAATAACGTTATGTCAGTATGTGGGGATATGTTATGGATCATGTATGTTGTAAAATAACGTTATGTCAGTATGTAGGATATGTTATGGATCATGTATGTTGTAAAATAACGTTATGTCAGTATGTAGGATATGTTATGGATCATGTATGTCGTAAAATAACGTTATGTCAGTATGTGAGGATATGTTATAGGTCATGTATGTTGTAAAATAACGTTATGTCAGTATGTGGGGATATGTTATGGATCATGTATGTTGTAAAATAACGTTATGTCTGTATGTGATATATGTTATGGATCATGTATGTTGTAAAATAACGTTATGTCAGTATGTAGGATATGTTATGGGTCATGTATGTTGTAAAATAACGTTATGTCAGTATGTAGGATATGTTATAGGTCATGTATGTTGTAAAATAACGTTATGTCAGTATGTGGGGATATGTTATGGATCATGTATGTTGTAAAATAACGTTATGTCAGTATGTAGGATATGTTATGGGTCATGTATGTTGTAAAATAACGTTATGTCAGTATGTGGGGATATGTTATGGATCATGTATGTTGTAAAATAACGTTATGTCAGTATGTAGGATATGTTATGGATCATGTATGTTGTAAAATAACGTTATGTCAGTATGTAGGATATGTTATGGGTCATGTATGTTGTAAAATAACGTTATGTCAGTATGTAGGATATGTTATAGGTCATGTATGTTGTAAAATAACGTTATGTCAGTATGTGTGGATATGTTATGGATCATGTATGTTGTAAAATAACGTTATGTCAGTATGTAGGATATGTTATGGATCATGTATGTTGTAAAATAACGTTATGTCAGTATGTAGGATATGTTATGGGTCATGTATGTTGTAAAATAACGTTATGTCAGTATGTGGGGATATGTTATGGGTCGTGTATGTCGTAAAATAACGTTATGTCAGTATGTAGGATATGTTATGGGTCGTGTATGTCGTAAAATAACGTTATGTCAGTATGTAGGATATGTTATGGGTCGTGTATGTTGTAAAATAACGTTATTTCCTTGTGTGGGGAATATTATGGGTCATGTATGTCGTAAAATAACGTTATGTCAGTATGTAGGATATGTTATGGGTCGTGTATGTTGCAAATAACGTTATGTCAGTATGTAGGATATGTTATGGGTCATGTATGTTGTAAAATAACGTTATGTCTGTATGTAGGATATGTTATGGGTCATGTATGTTGTAAAATAACGTTATGTCAGTATGTAGGATATGTTATAGGTCATGTATGTCGTAAAATAACGTTATGTCAGTATGTGAGGATATGTTATGGGTAGGATATGTTGTAAAATAACGTTATGTCAGTATGCTGGGGATATGTTATGGATCATGATAAAATAACGTTATAGGTCGTGAGGATATGTTATTGTGTTGAAAAAAAATGCATGTTGTAGAAACAACGTATGTCAGTATGTGATATGGGATGTATGTTAAAATAACGGTCAGTATGTAGGATATGTGGTAGGTCGTGTATGTTGTAAAATAACGTTATGTCAGTATGTGGGGATATATGTTATGGATCATGTATGTTGTAAAAATAACGTTATGTCAGTATGTGGGGATATGTTATGGATCATGTATGTTGTAAAATAACGTTATGTCAGTATGTGGGGATATGTTATAGGTCATGTATGTTGTAAAATAACGTTATGTCAGTATGTCAGCATGGGGATATGTTATAGGTCATGTATGTTGTAAAATAACGTTATGTCAGTATGTGGGGATATGTTATAGGTCATGTATGTTGTAAAAATAACGTTATGGTATGTGGGGGATATGTATAGGTCATGTAAAATAACGTTATGTCGAGTATGTGGGGATATGTTATGGATATGTAACGTTATGTCAGTATGTCGATATGTATGGGTTGTATGTTGTAAAATAACGTTATGTCAGTATGTGGGGATACGTTATGGATCATGTATGTTGTAAAATAACGTTATGTCAGTATGTGGGGATATGTTATGGATCATGTATGTCGTAAAATAACGTTATGTCAGTATGTGGGGATATGTTATGGATCATGTATGTCGTAAAATAACGTTATGTCAGTATGTGGGGATATGTTATGGATCATGTATGTTGTAAAATAACGTTATGTCAGTATGTAGGATATGTTATAGGTCATGTATGTTGTAAAATAACGTTATGTCAGTATGTGGGGATATGTTATGGATCATGTATGTTGTAAAATAACGTTATGTCAGTATGTAGGGATATGTTATGGATCATGTATGTTGTAAAATAACGTTATGTCAGTATGTAGGATATGTAATGGGTCGTGTATGTTGTAAAATAACGTTATTATGTCAGTATGTTATGGATATGTTATGGATTATGTCATGTATGTTGTAAAAATAACGTTATGTCAGTATGTGGGGATATGTTATGGATCATGTATGTTGTAAAAATAACGTTATGTCAGTATGTGGGGATATGTTATGGATCA